ATTTAGGCAAACGATAGTTTGGGCCTTTGGATTACACATTCCGCAGAGTACTGGTATTGACAATGCTCAGATCACGAGTTATAATGTGGTCATATATGAATGGGAATAAGCACAGGTTCAATCATGAGTTTTAGATTTGAAGCCGTCAATATTGAGATATTGCAATGAGTGTTTGTAATTGAAAGTTTTTTTTGTAATTGGTTTGGAATAGGCATAAAACAATGATAGGTACCGACTGATCTGTACAGTATGGATGTATTTTTGAGTGAACTAGTTGATGATGACGGATAGTGACCAAGTTGACGGCATCAAGACCTTTGTTGACAAATGAATAGTGTTAGAAAGGACCTTTTCTCCTTTTCGTCTTTTCAAAGTTCGTTTGGATACGGATTAAAAAAGGCTGTGTTTACTATGTGCTAGCGAATTAAACATCAGCGATGTGTTTAAGCTTATTTGGACCAAAAATGTATGTTTCTTAAATAAGCTAACTAGTTGAGTATAGCATTTTCTACGGTGTACAGCAAAAATATCGTGTATATATTTCTATTTAGCACCTGCATAACGGGGGATATGGGTTGCATAGCAGTGTTTATATCCAGTGGAAGGTTCGCGAAGTTGTGAGACGGTAGTATTGATTGTCCAAAAGGAATTGATAGTAAATTGTTAAGATAGGCTAAGGATATGTGCAGGGAACACTAATGATATAATTCTTTACGAAACTTTATAGTACAAGGGGCACGGTTTTTGCCGTAAAAGTAGTTTCTATGGGAAATTGCATGGTTTATATTTACTGAAGAACAACCTATACTAGTGTTTTGAATATATCAGGAGAATACAGGGTTGTCTTCTTTAACGAACCTAGAGGTTGTGGATGCTTTTTCCTCTCTACAAGACAAATATGTTGTTTAAGAAGACGAATTATTTCTGAACAAATGGGAAACCACATCTTAATTTTACGGTAAAGTTGTTTATCCAGCCAGTAAATTTAGTAGATACGTTCCGGGTAAACTTTTCGCTCCTTTAAAAAAAATTGACACTTTGAAGGTGCAATAGCTACGAGATATAAAAATAAATATGTTTTTTTTTTTCAATCATTAATGAAGTCAAAAAGTGAAATAATGATTCGCTTTTAGCAGCCAGTTTTGTTCAATTTTGTCAAAATAATACCATTTTACAAAGTTTTATTTTTTGCATTTATTCAGCCCATCCTTCTCTCAGGAAGGAAAATGGGGTTTTTAATTTTCATTTTTGAATAGAGCTCATTTAGACGTTCAATGTGATAAGTCACATGACCCCATTTAGTAAAATCAAAAAAATTATGCAATATCATACATAAAAAAATATATATAGAACTTATGAAACTTACAAATTCAATGTAAAACATGAAAATTTTCAAACTGCTTATTTTTCTTTGTTTTTTATCAAATGTTTTTGGTGTTTAGTCAAACATATAACCATGTTAGATTCTTCAATTTTTGAAAATTTCAGGTAGGTAGTATTTTTTGGTTATATTACCCTTTGAAGGGTAAGGTGAAATTTCCTCATGACTTTGAATATTTTGAAATTTTAAATTGAAGGTCTTGCAATACTGACATGTTTTTCAGTTTATAGAAGGTTGATATCTGTTACCATTTCAAAGATATACACAAAAAACTATACTTTAAAGATTTATCTCGTCGTAACTTTTGAAAGGATGGACGGCCAGTTTTGGCTGTACTGTAAAAAGCCCTTCGGGAGGAACAGTTTATACGCTGTGAGTATGTAGCTATCTCTTATCATTTTCTAAACATTCAAGCTTGAAATCTAAGCGTAAACACTTTTTGCACTCATAACATTTGACCGTAGAAGCAAATGAAAGGTCACATAAACTAAATATTACTGATGAAGGTCCAATGATTTTACGACTTCCGGTTCTCGAAATACATTTTTTTCAAAATTTGTGTATAAATTTCAAGGGAAATAGCTCTTATAAGGGTTGATAACATATGTTCCTGTATATGTTGGTATTTTCAAATCGATTCTATCTGAAACAATTTTTAAAATATATATATGCAAATAAAAGAAATCGTTTCAAGGGGATAGAACTCTAAAAGGGATGATAAAATCCTACACAGCCACATCTGTTAATTCGTCAAAGATAGATCTACCTATTGCTCAAATAAGGTCGTGATATCTTTAAAAACAATGAGGGGGAAGGGGCATGTCGAAAAAAAAACAATAAAAGGGAGATCACTTTAAGGGAATGTTGAAATCCCATACTGGGCGTCATCTGGTAATACTTCATGATGAGGTTTATAGATGGTTGGTCCAAATTTGGTCATGATAACTTCTATAGAATGGGGGGAGGCCGTGTCAAAAAAAATGTTAGAAGAATAAAAAAAATTGAAAAGCAATAAGGTCTTTACCAACGTAGGGAAAAGACCATAATAATATAGTTTGTTTGCAAATGATCGTGTTCAATACTTGTTAATTAATATGTGGTTTACATGTCTAGATTGAGTGTATACCATTTATGTCTCTATGCATATTGTGTTGCGTAATATGTCCTCCTGTGTCCTTTATGTGGTGAAAAAGGCATAGTCGTCATATATACTGAACTGCAAAAGAAATTTCGCAGTAATTTAATGCAAAAATGTAAGAAGAATCAATGCCATATTTTTATTGAATGGGCGTATAAAAATCATTGTTATTGCACAAATTCACATCATTTCAGTTCATTCACTGTTCATTGATAAAGTTTTCACCACCATATCACAGGATCAATTAATACAGGTCACAAGTCAGTAGCGTGTGTGTCCTCCATTAGCGTGGATTACGGCCCGGCATCTCCTGTGCATGGAATGAATCAGACGGTCGATTAGCTTCATAGGAATCCTAGCCAACACCTGTTGAAAAGATGCCTGAAGTTACACAGTAGTTGTCGGTCTTGGATGGACGTCATTTAGTTTTTCTCTTAATCTCGTCCCATAGATGTTCTATTGGGTTTACGTCTGGACTAAGAGCGGGCCAAGGCATAATTGTAATGTTGTTCTGCTGTAGAAAGTCCTGTGTAGCTCTAGCAGTATGCGCACGTGCATTTTCATGCTTACATTTGTCATTTCGGGGCCGTTTATAGCTGACTATGCGGCAATGGCTTTGCTCATTGTTGAAGGTCATACAGTGACCTATAGTTGTTAATTTCTGTGTCATTTGGTCCTTTGTGAAGAGTTGTCGCATTGGCAATTATACCACATCGTCTTTTTTATATTGAAAGTGTGATTGTGATGACGTGCAAAATGTGGCATAACATGTGGTCGTAGAACTTGATCGATATACCGGACTGCATTGACACCATGTCCTCTACATGGTCCAAGATTCTGGAAGACAACAGAACCTAATTTCTGATTCAATCCGATTCCACCCCATACCATAATGCTTGGACATCCCCATGCATCGCTTTCCATCATGCAGTTATCAGTTATATTTCGCTCTGTCTTCTCCAGATTCGTGTCCTGCCACCTGCATTTCAAATGCAGTAACGGCTTTCATCTAAAAAAATAACCGTCCTTCATTGCTGATGTCGCCAATTTTGACAATGGGTAGGCCACTGTAGTCGTTCACGGCGATTAAATGGTGTGAGAATACCATTAGGACCTCTGGTTGGCAGGACGACGACAACTCAGGTTACGATAATTCAATCGACTCCGGACTGTATCATCTCTCATTAGTGTCTGATTAATGCCTATTGTGTGCCAAGCAGTATGAGTTGTGCAGAGGAACCGGTTCTGCAGATGCTGTCGTAATATGTAGCTATCCTGACGCAGTGATGTTACTCTGGGGCGACCAGTACGTGGACGGTCGTTTGTACTGTTTGTTGCATTGTAGCGTTCACGTAGACGTTGGATGGTGCGTACATTCGTTACAGTTAAATGCAACGACTTGAGGCCGCTGTCCAGCATTCAAACGTCCTCAGTATTGCCTGTTATCTTTGTTGTTGGTTCAGTCTTGCCATCAAACAGATAATGATGACACAAAAACTTCGCACCTCTTAAATACCCTTAATCAGGCACAGATTCAACGTGCACATCATCATTATGAAATTTGACATTGGAACGTGTAACACGGAAGCAGCGAAACCAATATTAGGACGAACGAATTAATGAACGCAGTCAGCCGTATCGAAGATTTATACATAATCGTAGCATCATGTTAAGGTAATTTACTTAAACCAAAATAAATAAATAATTTTAAAATGTTAGTTTTCGAAAAATTCGAGGTTTCTTTTGCGGTTCGATGTAGGTCAATTTATTCCCTCCGTTAATATTTGTTTTCGATTGTAAGTTAAACTATTAATATAAACATAAGGGTTAAATTGAGAATGGATATGAGAAATGTGTCAAAGACACAACAACCCGACCAAAGGGCAGAAAACAACTGAAGGCCACCAATGGGTCTTCAACACAGCGAGAAAAATCCCGTCTTCATCTGGCCCCTATACAATATGTGTACTAGTTCAGTGAAAATGGACGTCACACTAAACTCCAAAACATATAATTGAACTAAAATTAAAAAACATACAAGTCTTAAAAAGGTCAGAGGCTCCTGACTCAGGACAGGCGCAAATATGAGGCGGGGTTAAACATGTTTTATGAGATCTTCCCCTCCCCCTATACCCAATGTAGAAAAAAAACACATAGCAATACGCACAGTAGAACTCAGTTCAAAAGACGTCCGAGTCCAATGTCAGAATAGGTAACAAAAGAAACTAGGCAAAATGACAATGATACATAAATTAACAAAGGACTACTAGCAGTTACTGACATGCCAGCTCCAGACCTCAATTAACTGATTAAACATATAAAAATCAAGCACAATCAATCCCGATAGGGGTTAATATCATACCATCATCAAATATATGAGAAGAACTTAACCAGAATCATGCAAACAACTGGTTCAAGAATAAATGTGTTTATTTCCCTATGAGTCAATATCTATCTATAGAATTTTTCCCTCGGGTTTTCCATTTTATTTATTTATAACGGCTTTGTTTTTGCTTTGAGTAGTGGCATGCAAGCGGTGCTGGTGATTTGAATAAATTTCAAGTTTCTATGTAAGTACAAAATTTATAGTTTTGCAATAATAATTTCATAAAATCGTATTAGAAATATGTTCAACGGACAAATTTCGTTATATCTTTTTGGCATCTACAGAGTGCTATAAATATAATGTATACATACTTGTAATATTATTTAAGGTTCCAATTTTATTGCACCAGATACACATTTCGATGTATCCCCGGTGATGCTCGAGTATAAAATATTTATATTTAAAAAAGATGAAGAGTTGATATACCGAAAAGAACAAAAATGAAAAGCATTGGGCTGAAAAAAAATTCTACTGCATGTACTTTTTATATTCATTTTAATCATTTTTGTATAAAAATAATATTTGAAAATTGTATTGGATTATCGTATCATGTACACAATGTTTGCTAGAGAAAAAAAAAAAGAATTCACTGCAAGAAACCCAATATATCATATACAATGAATTCCATCAAAGAGTGCAACATGCATGATTCCTTGGCGTTTTATAGTTTATCTTATTTGTTTTTCTTAATTTTTATTGTTATGAATTATTCTCGTTTGAATTGTTTAACATTTTGTATGTCGGGGCATTTTATAGCTGACTAGACGCTATGGGTTTCTTCTCATTGTTGGAGGGCCGTATGGTGTATCCACATCATTTGAACTTTGGTGGATAGTTGTCTCATTGGCTATCAAACCACATATTTTTATTGTTATACTCATACCACACTTTATTGTATACAGTACTATGTCCTCTTGGTATCTTCCGCCTTTTTTTAATCGAAGATTTACATGAAGACAATATCAACGAATACTGAAAGTCATTGCCATATTTGGCTTTCTTCAAGTGAAAACTAAATCATATAACTATTTAATTTGATGAAATAAGTTATAGTATGAATGATGAATATTATCATCATTGACTCTCAATTATCTCTTAAATCTCCCTCTTCTATCTGCATAAGAGTAATAATCCTACCTCTCAGTTAAGACACAGATTATTCATCTTTTGTGTGTTCGAAGGGGTCAATAATCATACCCCACGCAACTTCACTCCTCTGAAACCACACAATAGAATTTCATGAAACTTTGTAGATAATAATGACATTCTATGTAGATGTGCACATCGACAGGAAATTATGATTCAATTTTTTTTTCTAGGCGTTATGCCCTTTTATCTTAGAGTTTTGGCCTAAATATACTACTGCAACAGTTTTTCATCTCAACTTTTCTGAAACCACACAAGATAATTTCATGAAACTTTGAAGATAATAAGTACATAATATGTACATGTTCATATCAATAGGAAATTATGATTCAATTTTTTTTCTAGGAGTTATTCCCCTTTGAACTTTGAATTTTGCCGGAAATATATACTGCAACACCTTGTCATCGCAACTCCTCTTAACCCACACGATAGAATTTCATGAAACTTTGTGTTTAATTAGGACACAATATGTCGATGTGCATGTCAACAAAAAATTGTTATCAGTTGACATTTTGAGGAGTTATGAATCTTTGAATTTAGACATGTGATGAGATTTTGTTTGCCAAGTGACAATGTGGGGGCGTGGGGGTATTTGAGCGTGCTCACAATGGTTCTTTAATTTTCATCGAAAACTAAACTACTGGTTTTTTATTAATTTCGTTTTCCTTTTGAAACAAATTATGTTTTGTTTCATAAAAAGAATCAAACAATTTGTTATTAAAAAAGGTGAATGGTTGGTGCCTCAGTGTCGCATGGAGAACCAAGTTCGATCCTCAGTGGTACAATAGTGCACCAAAACAATATTACCACGGGTAAATAATAATGGTAGTGTTACTTTACTTTGTTCATCAGCCTTTTGACCGTCAGATGATACCATGTCTTATGTATTTGTTTTTGCATAATGCTAATTTTGTTTATAGTTGTGACCTCTGGTTTGCAAGTCTCTCAGCTCAAACAAATCGACGGTATTAGATTTAGTTATATACGATTAACGTGTATAGTATGTTTCACAAATGTCTTGACGCAATCTTCCTAGTCAAACGAAAAATTCCTATATAAATACTTTATCTCATCCTTTAATATCTTTAAAATCTTTAAGTACATGAAGTTATGGTGACCAGAGTGTTGATCGGTTGATTCAGTTGGACAATAGATCTTATACAAATTTATCACGCGTTGAATTTTAAAAACATCTCCTTATAACACTTAAACGTTAAACTTGGTTCGCATTTTTACCACATGTATGTAAAATATGACGATGACGTTTAAGTATTCTTCTACTAAATGATTGCAATGTATGATATAAACTATATATTATGATGTCAAAATACTTACCTAGTTTTAGAACAACATATTTTGTTTTTATAAACCATACATGCACATCAAATGATAGCCTTCTCATTTTTAATACATAAAGTTAAAGGTGTCAAAAATTATGTCGACACTTGTCTTATATATATATATAAAGAACTATGATGTAAGCCATTAAAAATAGAAACGCATTTTCCCTTGGGTTTTACCACTGTTAGCTAAAAATAGATAAGGGGGTTTACCGCTAGTTATTCTTATTTAATACATAATATAAAGCAAAAAACGTAACAACAAAACAACATAGTTCGAGCACATGTAATTTAAAGACTTGAATGCCGATAATGTCAGTTTGACTTAAGCGATATAAAATTAATGCAAATGATGTAGCATATTTTGCTATATTTTAGACAATAAAAAGTATATGTATTTCATATTGATTTAATACTCAGTTAGTACTTTTAGACATGTTATAACATTGCTACAAATAAATGTATAATAACTGTTTTAGCAAAAAGCTTTTTAAAAAAACAATTGTTAATGGAAGTAATTCCATATGATTTTTTTTAGTTGATTGCTTAGTTGGTTGATTGATAAAACGTTTGCATAATTTCCAGTGACAAGTTCTTCATATCAATATATAGGTTGGTTGGTCTGTGGGTGTATTGCTTGATTGATTGATTTATTGACAGTTTGCATACGGTAAAGAGTTGCTAGTTACATATTGACTAATTATGTGATTGATTGTTTGTGTGACGTTCAGTGACGAATATTTAACGAAATTCTTCACTAAGAGACACAGGTTGAATGCTCCCCTTCGAACAAAAGAGAGACAGGACGGAGACCACTCCCCTTATTTAATACTTAGAGACGATTCCATTGGAGGAAGCAAAAAGAAAATAGATGGGATTTTCAGATTCACATTGACACGTAAAACTACAAAATCGAAAGGTTCAATTTTAATTACATTGGCAATATATACACATAACAACGCAATATACATAAATTCAGAGAATTCCTTGAAAAATGAGGAAATTTATAAAGGAAGATGCAACTATATTTTTTTGGAAAGGGTGTTAATCCTTGCACTTTTCCATTTAAAGTTAGAAAGGCAAATACAAGGATACTTTTTGGAACGGGAAAAAAAGAGGGATGTCAAATCCTGGCATGTTCCTAGAGTTACCATGATTTAGATACAAATAAGCATGTTGCACTGACCTGAAATTATGTAATTTAATCCTACCTCTTGTTTTCGCTAGTTCCCAGGAACCCAAATCAGTGTATTAAGTGATACAATGTAAATATTGACTAGGTTCCAGGTCTGTTTCTTTATTTAGAGGATTGGGCATTTATCCTTCTGTGAAAAAAGAATGTGCGTTATATATGTGTCGCTGGACGTCACAGTAACAACCAACGAATGCTTCAATCAATATGAAGAATGCGCCTCATTAATCAATCAATCAATAAATAAATCATTCAATCGAGCAAAGGAATCAAGCCACTCTCAATGGTTTAAGCAAATTCGTCAAATATGACATTGTGTAAAATTTCAACCAATCAATTAACGTGCCTACAATCCATCCAAACCAACAATATATACGAAGAAATTGCAATTGGTATTGTGCAAATATTCTCTCAACCAACCAATAACCATGTGAGAAAAAAGGCTTCACTCCCAATGTTTTTATTTATTCAGTGAAACGTAAAAATGCTATTGGAGTGCCGAGTAAATCAATAATCACAATAATATTTTTACATGATCCCTTATTCCAATGCATTATGGTAATTTACTTGATGGAGAGTATTGAGTTGCGAGTAAAAAAGAATCGAGTTGCGAGTTATGAAAAAACGAGTTGCGAGTTATGAAAAACGAGTTGCGAGTTATAAACAGCGATTTACGAGTTACAAACGTTCAGTTAAGAGTTACAAAAGTGGAGTTGCGAGTTATAAAAGTCGAGTTGCGAGTAACAAAAGTCTAATGAACAAAATGCACTTTCTAATTTGTACTGGGATACCAACGAAAGGTTGTATAATTTGTTTGGTCCAATTTGTACTTGTGGTAACCAAATCAATATTTTTAAAAAATAATTCGATTTCCTGTCTATTTGGATTACTTTATTAACGTATTTAACGTTGGCATCAATATTTCTTTGTTTTCATTACTATCCATATCTGTATACTGAAAAATGCTAAAGGGATCTAAGTCGCCATTTTGAATAGCACAACCTTCTTTAAAAATATAAAAAAATATTGAAATGATTTCTATCTGACCATTAACCTTACTGTATTGTCCAATACTTATACAAATATTTCTTTAAAGAATTGAAGATGATCGCAGATGTAACTTAAAATCATTTTCTGCATACTTATGACTTGTTTGTTAAAAGAGGTGGAAGATTATTCATACTGCAATTGCCTATCGTACATAAGATGTGATGAAGTAATATGCATTTAAAGGGAAAAACAAACCGAAAAAGAAACTGTCATCGTTGATATGCAGTGTACTTTATTTATAATTTATATAATAACTCTTAAAATAACTCGAACCTTAACTCGAACTTTAACTTAAACTTTAATTCGATGGTTAGCAACACTCCAATACATTTATTAAAGCATATGATTTATGCAGTTACATATTATATAGAATATTTAACGATATTCTTAGAGATATAATGTATGGATATCAATTAATCATTAAGGCATATTCTGTGCCACTGATTATTGATATTCTTTTCGGAATAAGTGATAATCTTAATTCATAATTTGCAGATATCCTTTATTCATTTAAAATATAATCTAATCATTTGGAGATTTTATCTCAAATTTATGTTGGATTATGGATAGTTTGAACATTCTTGTTCTTTGATCTCTGACTAATAATCATACCACATCTCTCTTGCTTTATATTGAATATAGAAAATACAAATGCACCATGGGTGCAATATGCAATGCAATCTTAATGGAATTCTAGTTTAAAATGGAGTTTAGTATTGGCTACTTTTAGTTTTTTTTTATTATCTTTGTTTTGTTTTGTTTTGTTTTGTTTTGTTTTGTTTTTTTTTTTTTTTGGTGGTGGTGGTGGGGTATGTATACCGCTTGACGCAAAAATCAAAACGGTCTTATTATTTCAAATCAGCTTTGTCAGTCAAAGTTTGGTGGAGGTTTGGGATATGGTTCAAACGAAATCATTAGGAAACCAAAATCATGCCTCAATTTCTGGTTATCAACTTCTGATTTGACAAAATGATCCCAAAATCAAAAGAAGCTTTCTCACTCCGATGCCGATTTTTCAACAAAGCCTTGTAAAAACTGGAAAAGCTAAAAAGATATTGTCAAAAAAAATGAAATGTTTTTGGTAGAAAATTCAGTCTTCTTAGAGGCACTGTGGTCTTGCCCTTTGATATACTGACTATGTCGTAACCCGGCCACTAAAACAGTAACGTATTGTTTACAATGTATCGAAAGTTGCACGGATGCTTTAGATGGTAATTGCTTTTGACATAACATGTCGGCGGGACAATATCAAGTGATACATTGCATATGATTTAGTGAATGTTTCTGGGAAGTAGTATATTGAGTATTGAAAAAAAACCCAAGAAACTCTATTTAACCTGACAAGTTAAAAAAAAAGATATCTATACATGTAATGATATCATTTTTTTGTCTATCCTTTCAACGTCACAATACAATGTAAACTGTATGAAATGAAAATGTAAATGTATAAAAATTTAGAAATAAACTGTCAATATATTACACTTGAGTATACTTTTATAAGTCCCCTACCGACGAAGTCGAAGGGGACTGTAGGTTTGCACTCCGTCCGTCTGTCCGTCTGTCCGTCTGTCCATCCGTCAGTCCGGCAAATCAGCTTTCCACACTTTTTTCTTCGTTCTTGAAGATATTGATTTGATATTTGGTATATAGTTTTATCATGACAAGTAATAGATCAAATTCGAATTTTTTTCCGGTCTGATGATTTAGTCCAGAGTTATGGACCATAACTCTGGACCATATCTAATGTTAGAGTACTATGTTAAACCATATTTCTGTACAAAGGGAGATAACTCATTTTTTAAAAGACATTCATTGTTAAATTATTGGAAGAATTTTTTAGCAGGTTTTTTTGTTATTTAGTATAAACTAATTTTCTGAATGTATATATATATATATATAAAGAAAAATTTATGAAGAGAAATCCTTTAATTAGATAATAATTTATTTTGATTAATGTATGTATTTCAATACATTACATTGTGTAGATAAATGTTGTTGACATTTTAAACATAAGTTACAAATCTATATTAGTTTGTGACAAATGAAAGAAAAAATATTTGGAACTATTAATTATATTTGATTATAATTTGAAAATAGATATACACTGTATTACATCATATCTAATTTTCGAGAACTATTAAACATATATAATGTTTTTTTTACTCATATAATCAGTTTTCCACACTGTTTTTAGTCATGCTTGAAGATATTGACATGATATTTACTTTTTGTTTTCACCATGACAAGTTATAGAACAAGTGAGCATTTTGTTCCAGTAAAACGAATTTTTACCCGGTAGGGGACTATGTATTGCCATGAAATACTCTCAGAATGCTTGTTCAACTCGATTTCTCGATTAAAAGATAAAATTCCTACAAAACACAATGTCTGACACTATGTTGCCTTTTGTAGGGAAAACTCCAATATGACTGCCACAGTGGAACCTGTTCAGCCGGAGAGTAAGTCACTAATGCATCGTTGTCTTTGATATACCTTATACATTTGTAGCCGACACAACCTTATTTGCACTAATACATTTTAAAAAGAGGATAATCCGCCTGTTCCGACAAAAAAGACCTACAAGTAAAGTCAAACAACAACATACAGCATATTTTGCTTTTAACCTACTACTGCGCACAGATGCCAACTCTGGTAAGGGTACACAAGTTTTAAATGCTCGCCCCTCCTTTTTATTTGAAATGTACTTCCTGAATTATGCTTTTAAAGTCGTTGTTTTCAGTTTTAAAAATATTCATACACATTTTCATGTTTTACTGTATAGAAATATTTCTGAAAGAATTATATACTAAAATCCTGATCTCAGTAGTCAAACATCTATAACGGGGATGCGTTTGCTATAGTTACCATGGTAGTTTTGCATACAGAGCATTACATTATCTTGATGAACGTTCGTTGTTGGGTCGTGAGCATTTCACCGTTTTTATTCTATTCTTCATTTGTATGCCCCCGCCGTAGCGGTGGGGGCATTAACTTTTACCCTTGTCCGTCTGTACGTACGTACGTCCGTACGTCCGTCCGTACATCCAAAAATTGGTTTCCGTTCTCTAACTGAAGTTTGCCTCAACTAAATGATATAAAACTTATACACAATGCTTATTACCACAAAACACAGATCAAGTTTGAATTTTAATGGCGTCACTGTAACCGTTTTAGAGTTATGCCCCTTTATAAATAGATAAATTGCAAAACTTTTAGTTTCCGTTCTCCAACTTAAGTTTGCCTCAACCAAATATTATGAAACTTATACACAATGCTTATTACCACAAAACACAGATCAAGTTTGAATTTTGGTGGCGTCACTTTAACCGTTCTATAGTTATGCCCCTTTATAAATGGAAAAATTGCAAATTTTTACTTTCTTCTAAATATCAAGTAATTTATAAAATTGGAGTTATCTTCCTTTGTCCATGATTATAGTTGTTTTCTAACTTTGGTTTGCCTCAACTAAACGTTATGAAACTTATACACAATGCTTATTACTACATGATACAGATTAAGTACGAAATTTGGTGGCGACACTTTTACCATTCTGGAGTTATGTCCCTTTATAAACATACACATTGCTGAATTTTTTAGTTTGTCTCAACCAAATGTTATAAAACTTATACACAACCGTTCTAGAGTTATGCGTGTTTACAAATAGAAAAAATACTGAATTTTTAGTTTCTGTGCTCTACTTAAGTTAGCCTCAACCAAATGTTATGAGACTTACACACAATGCTTATTACCACAAAACTCAGATCAAATTCAAATTTGGGTAGCGTCAATTTTACCGTTCTTCAGTTATGTCACTTTATTACTATATGATATGTAAGCGGGGGCATCATCTGTGTCCACATGTGGACACTATCCACATTTATTGTATTAGCATTCAAGTATAATTAATGAATGAATACGGCATGCTATTGATTATCAAACCTATGTAACAAAAGTTGTTATCTATTGTCATTTCCGTTTACAGATAATTTCAATGTGAACAAGGACAAATTTTCTCTGTCCAGTAGTAAAGAAGACCATGACATTCACAGCCTTCTACCAAACGGAAATGAAATTGATCATTCCTTGCCAGTAATTGTATGTTCAGTATTTCATCTATTGTTTAAAACTTTAAATGCATGAACTTTCATAACGGTGACCTCTAGATGTAAATGTTTGTTCATTCTTGCCGTTGGGTTCATCTTAATCTCTTAAAATGAAGTAAGGTAAATCCTGTAAGACAATCCACATTTATTAAACTGCTTTGAACTTAAATAATGTGTATATTTCACTTTTTACCACCACTGTGTCTTCACCGTTTCTGATGGACTGTAAATTGCTTATACCTTTAGCCGCGGGATTAATTATATGTAAATGGGGTAAAGGTTAAATGAACCCTGTCAGACAGATATTTACGCCTTACTATCAATCAAAACACATAATGCTTAATCTGAGAAACAGACCTAACCAAAAAAACTTAACATCAACCAATAAACCATGCCAGACGGACCTCAGCAGGCAGACATGTAATCATTCCATGCACACACTATACTTAGTCTATTACGTATAGTATCTGAGAAACGCTGACTTTTGAACCATGAAAATGACAGATAGACATATACATCTTACAATATTTCCAACCACCAAATACAGTTGACCTGTTCCTTATAGTATCTTAAAAGAAACAATATCAAACCCTAAAAACTTAGCTTTAACCTATGAACCATGCAAATTAGGTAAAGGTCAGATGAAACCTACCAGACTGATATGCACATTCTGCAATCAAACCAGACACCAAATATTGTTGACTTTCTGCTTAAAGTATCTGGTACTTAAACACGAACACTTACCTTGATCACATCAATCCATGAAATGAGGTCGAGGTTATGTGAACCCTATATGACGGAAGGAATCCGTATATATTTCTATAGTGATCATATGACTCAAATTAAATGAGATATTCAAACGACAAAAAAAAGAAATAGAAACAGAAATAGAAATTTTTTGTTTGACCGATTACGGACCTTTGCGGGTTTTAATTCCGTACAATGATTACAATGATTTTTGTTTTATGACAATGAAATAATGTATAGTATATAAGAGCAGTCATTGCACCATGAAAAGGAATAGCCTGAGTATACTTCCTATGTCTCGAAATCTACGACAGGCGAGACAAAAAACAAGTTAATAAAAGAAGATGTGGTGCTATACATTACTGGGGACTACATGTATAATGTTAGCCGAACATTACTAGATACCACTTACTGAACCACACTTGATGTAAGATTGATTGATTGATTGTCGGTTTGAATCACCCGTTCAACACTATTATCTATCTAGTGGTGGCTTATTTTTATTGATGGAGGAAGCCGGAGTTACCGGGAAGAACCACAGATCTTTAGCAGGAAAACTGACAATTTTATTTAATTAATATCGGAGTCGAACGCACCAGCTGCCACGTGCAAGCTTTGAGCGCAAAACTCTAGTGTTGATGTCAGACCTTCGAGAACCGTTCATATGATTAACATTTCCTACGATGGACATTTTGATTTTGTTAGTTGTAACATATATGACAACTAAACGTTGCTTTCTCTTGCATATTAGGAAAATTCATGTTGTTAGAATAAATTTTCATTATAAACGTGAAAGAAGGTAAAAGATTCACAAAAACAGAGACAATTAACTATAAATGTTTTACGATCTTTTTAGGAATATATGATTTTGTGCATTCACTTGCGTAATAAATGGGTTAAGTTTTAAGTTTTAAAACAATTCATTTATAGATTTATCTGGCTTTTGCATAGGTTACTGATACATCTTGTGATAAGAGTACCGAAAGTTCAGTTATCTCTCTCGAGAATACAAGATCTTTAGTTGAGGAAAGACATTTGGACACAGGATATACTGGTAAAGATTATGCAGTACTGTCATCCAAGGATTCGTGTATGACTTTGGCCGTTCCAAAATTGTCAGCAAAATACAGAAAGAGCAAGGGAATTTCAAAACGGTATATACATAGCTCTGTAAAAAAAAGTAAATCAAATATCATAAACGGATTGATGAAAGGTAAACTAATGTAGAATAAATTTGTTTTTTTGTAGGTACAAAAATTGTTTGACTTCTACTGCCAAAGGATATAGTGAAAGCAGGCAAACGATTTGATACATTTTGTTTAATTTGTTAATATTAAACGAATTCTATCTGAATTGTTTTAAAACTAGGGTTTATGAATGTATCAGCACCACTAAAGCATTTGAAGGCATTTTCAAAAGCGTTCTTAGATAAATGTAGAATATAAATATTTGAAAAATAGAAATCTATGATAACGATTGGGAGAGACTATGGGATGATGGTTCAAATCCAAGAACCTGTAACTAGATTTTTCTTCACTCGTTACGTGATACATGAGGGTGTGGATGGGGGTTTACAGAATATAGAATAATGGGCAAAACATGTATAGAATAAAGAAAATTGGCATAAAAAAATAAACATAACAGAAATGAAGGACCTCCATCCATACCCTCATACATATCCAAAAGAAGTTCGTCCTATTAGATTAAGAACGATATGTTTTAGCGTATCAATGATTAGGAATGAAAATAAAGTACTAACACATGAGTAATATTTCCCTTTTGTATACATATTACAATACGTACTACACTACTCGACAAATTATTAGCATTCTTAATCTCAATTAAAAACAATGATAAAATGCACGGTCTTACCAAACTTGTTGCTGTGTTACATATTTGTTTTTTTTCATTTTTTTGTACATTAATTAGGTCGTAAGTTTTCTCGTTGGAATTTTTTTACATTTGTCATTTCGGGGCCTTTTATAGCTGACTATGCGGTATGGGCTTTGCTCATTGTTGAAGGCCGTACGTGTTGTTAATTTCTGTGTCATTTGGTCTGTTGTGAAGAGTTGTCTCATTGGCAATCAAACCACATCTTCTTTTTAGTCCCCTACCGACGAAGTCGAAGGGGACTTTAGGTTTGCACTCCGTCTGTCTGTCTGTCTGTCTGTCTGTCTGTCTGTCTGTCTGTCCATCCGTCATTCCGGCAAATTAGTTTTCAAAACTTTTTTTCTTCGTGCTAAAAGATATTGATTTGAAATTTGGTATATATTTTTATCATGACAAGTTACAGATCAAGTTTGAATTATGTTCCGGTCTGATAATTTTGTGCAGAGTTATGGTCCTTGGAATTAGAAAATTCACTCAAATAATCAGTTTTCCGCACTTCTTTTGTCATGCTTGAAGATATTGATTTAATAATTCGTATACAGTTTTACCATGACAAGTTACAGATCAAGTTCGAATTTTGTTCCGGTCTGATGATTTTGTGCAGAGTTATTGTCCTTGGACTTAGAAAATTCACTCAAATAATCAGTTTTCCACACTATTTTGTTTTGTCATGCTTTAAGATATTGATTTAATAATTGGTATATAGTTTTATCATGACAAGTTACAGATCAAGTTTAAATTTTGTTTCGGTCTGATGATTTTGTGATCCTTGGACTTCTTGGTCTTCTCAAATAATCAGTTTTGCACACTTTTTTTTCGTCATGCTTGAAGACATTGACTTGAGATTTATTATACAGTTTACACCATGACAAGTTATGGATCAAGTTAGCATTTTGTTCCAGTACAATGAATTATTAACCGGTAGGGGACTATGTATTACCATGCAATACTCTCAGAATGCTTGTTTATATATAGAAAGGAGGCGCTATGTCATCTTACAGTGACGTCCTCCACTGGAACAGAAGTTTTAAATCACTTACCCGAAATGAGTTTTACACATGGAAGACCGGAAGTCACTTGACTAGAAATGTGTTTGGAGCGTACATGACAATAACGCGTCTGGATGAGAGTTATGAAAGCAGCTCATGCATTACCGCAAGACTTATTTCCCATTTTTTAATACAAGAAGTTCCCACCATTTTCCGTTCGGAAACTATTGGCCTTGTTGTTAATGATATGTATCTCGGGTTTAAATAGAACTCATGTTACTCTTCTAAAAGGTTTTTGCTACTCCTGCTGCTGATTGGGGGTTGGATTTTGCTAATAGTACTGCTGATTGATGGTTGGAAATTACTGCTGCATGAGGGTTACATTTAAAACGAAACAAGTATTTGACAAATATTTGAAGCAGCTTCGAGCAACACGTAAAATACATGGAGCAGCTTGGAGCATCTGGAAAAGTATCTGTAGCAGCCATGAGCAACCTGAAGTCTATTAAAAATATCGGCAGCAGCTTTAAGCAACATAAAAATATTGGGAACAGCTTGGAGCATCTAAAACATGTCGTGAACAGTCCAGAGCAACTTGAACAGAAGCTTAAATTACTTTAACCCTAATCATTAGCAACAGCATCCCAAATCCTCGAACAGAATTCTAACTGAATTATAACTTCAGTTACGGTTAATGACTACACAATCGCAGCAAAATGAAATGATAAAAAAGAGCTGCTTAAGCAGCAAATGGAGGTTTTTAAATGACCTTAATATTTTCATTCAGCAGCAGCAGCGACAGCAATAAATTAACATTAAAGCAGCGGCATAAAATTCTCAAAAGAGTATAAGTACGACTGGACCACCGACAAGACATGTGTTATTAGCTGATCATTAAGCAATGTCCGCTGCATCTGCAATACCGTCTCAATCCTTCAGAACCGTCAATATTCAAACATTATTAAAAGAGTAACTTTAGTACGACTGGAGCAGCTGACAGACTATTTCAAAATTTCCATTATCTAATCCTTAACTTGCAGCAGCAGAAATAACCCTCCCTTCAGCAGAGGCAGTAAAATCCATCAAAAAAGAGCAATGAGCACGATTGGAGTCGAAAGCCAATTCGGAAACAAAGCTCTAAAGGCCCCTGCAAAATAGCACAATCGCCACAACCCCAAACAGTACAAATTATATCCGTTTGAAAAAACTAACAAAAAGAGTAAAACAAGAAAATAACACACTTTTTGCTTCCTTCGTTATATTAAGAAAGGACTCCTTCAAGAATTCTTTTATCGGAAATAAGTACTCCGACCTATGTGAAAAGGTTTTAAAAAATTGCTTTAAAAACTTAGAAACCCTCTACTGTCAGACTAGTTTATGCTTCTGAAGCAATTATACGGAAATGTTAAGTACTAGTACATTAAAACTCTGTCTAAATATTTTATGGATTTGGTATTTTGTAATGTATTTTAATGTTTTAATATTTATACATGCTATCATACATTTATTTTTTAGTTTGCAATATAGAAAACAAAGAGCTGCGAGTAGAAATTCATTTCTGTTTTCATATTCATTATCGATGGTGTGTGTGGTTATGCGCCTCTTAAAAGCTGAAACTGCAGAATGTTCAGGTAAGTGACAATCAATGTAGTTTATAAAACATAAACTCAAAGGAAGGTCGATATACCTCGGTTTTATTTTGTAATAATTAACATACTAGTAGCAAGAAATATTCTAAAATTGGTATGAGGGCCAACAGTGCAATAATTACACACAGACGTGCTGAAAAAGGTTACAGTAAATACCTATATACTTATTAACGTATAAAAGAGAGGCGACATATACCAAAGGGACATTTAATATCATAAGTCGAAAATAATCTGACAAGGCCATGCCAGACAACAATACACAAAACACAACATAGAAAATAAAAACTGAGCAACACCCACACAAAATGGGGTAATCTAAGCTTCTCCGGAAGGGTAAGCAGATCCTGCTCCCCATGTGGCACCCATCCTGTTGTTCATGTCAGTAAAAAACCCAGTGATAAATAACTAACATCTCTTTTCATTTATTATTTAGGCTCAAAATTAAATATTTCAAAACGGACTGCTTCATTAATAGTTTTAGGCATAAAACTAAGAGTATATTCATTTGGTATAAGAAGTGGATTTAGCGTGTCTTGTATATATAATTCATGTTGATTTAGTATCTAAGTTAGCGTATACATGCAATTGAAGTTATTCTTATAAAACGAGATTGTAAATGCAGTTGCCAATGAACCATGTATCGTTTAAAAAGTGGACTTTTAAATTGCAGATATTGTGACATGGGACGTAAAGACAAAGCCCATTTTGTTTGGAGAGACATTAGAATTAGTATGCAATATATTCGATGAGGAAAATTTGTGTAAGGGGAGTTTCCAGCAGTGGTATGGTAGTAAACAGGACACGCTTCTTTGTCAAGATGGGAAATGTAGAAACGAAGAAAAGTACACATTCAAGAAAAATGCTAATTGTAATAACTCCTTATTGATACATAACCTATCTATAAGCGATGTCGATATTTCATATTCATGTGCATTTGGGAGAAATGAGATGAAAAAAGGATTAATGATGAAAGATTATGAATTCTTAAGTAAGTTTGTTTTTAAATATTATACAATGTGTGTTCTGTAAGTTATTTAATTGACCCATTGTTTGCAATTTTGGTTTCGAAAAAACGGACATTAGTTGATCAGACAAGCAATTGACACTGTTGGTTGTTTTAGAGACAACATTTTAGAAAAAAGAGATTTAGATTTTTATTTGCCTTTTGTTTTTGTAGAGCTTCCCAGAAACAGTAGCGTTAGTCCTTCACTGACAATAAATGACAGTATTGTTGACGTTTCTTTGAAAATTGATGGTATTTATCCTGAACCAAATTGCACCATTATCCTTCACGTAAGTATGCCAAACAAATTGAATAGTACTAAGTTTGAATTTCAACTTAGTAAAGAATTATTACCAGTCGACTACTCGTTGATTCGAACGAGCAATACTGGAGTAATATGGCAAATGTATACAACCTTGGAACAAAATTATACGCATATTCAATTTGTTGGTCATCGTCTAATGGACAGGTAACCTTATACAAATGTACATTTATATCTAAACGAAACAATAGTCCCAGGAATCATGCACAATTAACGAAGAGCTCATTTGCTGCATGAACTAATTAGATTAAAAATCTACTGTTGAATTATTTTTTCCTCGGATAACAATTTTTGTTGATTGAGGAAATTTTGTATCTTTATTTACACTTTATTTCGTGATATTTACAAAGTATCAATTCAAGCTGATAGATAATGTGTACTTCGTTGAACATTTAGATTCTTGGTTTGTATTTTTGTTGCACTTCTGTGTTCTGTTGTTGTCCTCTTATAGTTGATGTGTTTCCCTCGGTTTTAGTTTGTAACCCGGATTTGTTTTCTCACAATTGATTTATGATTTTTGAACAGCGGTATACTACTGTTGCCTTTATTTACCTATACCCACAAAATCCACCAAAATTGGTATCACACGAAGAATAATGAATCGACAGTAATCACGAATTTTATAACAACTGTTGATTTTTAAAAGATTACAAAGTAAAACAAGATCAAACAACAGTTGTTTTTTGTAATTGTAAAGACAACACATAAACAAAGGCGTGATGATAAAACTTCACTGAAGTGTTGTCAATAAAATCATCTATAAACAAAAGAAGACAATGTCCTAAATGAAACCGATTAGTCGAATATCATTTTGATATTCGATATTCTGTACTACCGAGCGATAATAGAGTACTAGTTGACATTCCTACAATTAAGATCATGTAAGCAGATAAAAATCAATTTGTTCAATCAAATAAACAGGTAGTTCATATGTTTATATCTGTTATAAAGACTGTTTAGTTTTGGGAAATGACGAGCAGATTTGTCAGTTTTCAAAATAGTGTCATTGTTTAAGCATGAACAAAAGAAGATAAATGTTTGTTATTGCTGAATTATTGCCATCATATGCATATATTATGATTAACATTACAACATTTCAGTTAACAAATTAAGAGCCTTTTAATTTATTGTTCTCATGTAATATTGCAGGAAAGAGACATAACGGGAAAAGCTAATATATCATCTACCGTTAATCAAGCGGGTTTATTCTTTACCTACAATATGCATATAATGCACAACGTTAGCAAAAAAGATTGTGGATCTCCTTTGGTGGTTAACTGTTATATTGGAAGCTTTACTGTGACCAACTACACAAGGGAATTAGATAATTGTACTGGTGCGTTTAATGCTGATATCTTTCATGACTTGTATATACATATGTATATATAAATAAAAAAGAACAAATTCGCAATAAACTACATTTAGTAATACATTTAAAATTATATGATGTAGCGAACATTGATGTAATTTTTATTGTGATTTTAAATGTATTACTAAATGTAGTCTATTGCGAATTTGCTCTATTTATTTATCTATACATTTGTATCTGTACACAGTGGAACTTGCAACTTTATGCTATATATATATGTGCTTCCAATGGAATTACTTCAACAATGTTTTATCTGCAAATTTGCCGTTTATCAACTTTATTGATATATATATATATTTACTTAGGATTAACTAACACAATGACTGATTAACATGAAAACGTATGATCAAATGCCTGTTAGTGAAAATAGTATATTTCCGTTCACAATACAAATATTCATAATATTTCAAATAACTCTTCTATGAATAATGAAAAAAACTCTAGTTTAAATTCTTAGTAGCAATGTATTCAAACAAAATCTTCAGCATTTACTAGCTGCAACTTCCTATAAAAAACTACAAAAAAACTCAGTGAAAATGAATGACAGTACGGTAGATTTTGGATCATTTCCACTGATAGTAACATACCGCAGTTTCAGTTATTGAAATGCTTAAATCAACACACATGCAATCAATTATTGTATACATAGCTTCTTCAAATAGATTTGCTTAATTAACTTTATACGATATATATATTTATATTTTTCAATACTAAACTAACACTCTTGTTGCGTTCGCTTGTAGTTGATTCTGATGATTGTTTTAATTGGAACGTCATATAAAACACCAATTTCCCACAGAATAATTTTCTTTTCTGATGAATGTATCATTTCCTTCTATTAGATAATTCCTGTAATCATTGGAGCGGAAACAACTCGACTTTGGTAGTATCAATGGTTATTCTTACCATTTTAGTGGTTATTATCGTGGTCATTTTTGTATTTCTTTATTCTAAAAGAATGAGAATCCGAGAAAGCTGTCAGAAAGGTAATAATCCTTCCCTTTTACTCTGAAACAATTATTACATCGGTTTTGTCAAAACTTTTTTTTTTGTTCGATTAAAATAAGAATAAATTGGTAAAAAAAAACAATACTGCCGTAATATAGCTTCGAGGGAATCCAATTCTATCAATTTTACGAAATCAATCTTATCTCCTTCTCGATTCGCAAAATAATTTTGCATATATATGAAGGAAAATGTGAAAATTAAGCCTGTTGTACTAAATAAAACGAAGTAAAACTAACTTTGCTCTACATATATCTGTATTTCTACACAACGCACATTACAATATATGTTACATCACTGACTTGATTCTCGTTGTGGTCAAAGTTTGAAAATGTTAGAAAAAAGAGATATTACCAAAAGCTTGAAAACACTTTAGTACGAAAGAAAACTATGACTACAATGATCACGTGTTTCTCTTGCTCGATATAACAATTCAACATAGTTACAATGTATTATATTTTATACTCTACTAATTCATCGAACTAAAGTATAATTTCTAGAAATGACGGTTGAAGATATTGCAATAGATATGATAATGTATGCAACAGAACAGTAAATTTGACGAATACAGCATTCAGAACCTGCCAACAAATCATTTTTATATTTCGAAATCTTTGAAAAGGATGGTCAACTTGAAATGACCTCCGTGTCATTTTTCAATCTTTTAAAAGCAGTTTGGAACAATTTTCTCTAATTTTCATGATATTTATACATTTCCAGGTCGGTGTGAGAAAAAAAATATTTGTCCTGTCTAGAGAAAACTTTGTTCTCGGCAAATGATTGATAATTCAATTGTGACGTCATTCAAAAAAGGTGATCATGCCTGATGACGTCACATATAAAGAACACAACTTTCTGCAAATCTTTGAAAAGGAAGGATAAATTTTGTTAAGATATCGTCTAAAAATCATAAGAGAAACAGATTCCACCACTATTTACTATGTATTACGATATTTCTCCATTATCAACAGTTAAATTTTTAAAATTAAAAAAGCTCAGCAAGCCTCGCGTTTTACATTTTAAAACTTAACTGTCTCGAGTGGAGAAATATTGTAACACACTTGGTGCAGTGATGGAAGTTATATGTTTATTTTTAGATAGACTATATTGGAAACTTACGTTCCCATGTATCTGATATAATACAACAAGTTATCAAGTTATTATTAAACATGCATATACCAGATCAACTTTATTCAAACTGAAATCATCGTTGTTGAATTTAAGATAAGAATTTTTTATTAGTTAGTGAAAAAGACACTGAGAGGGCGGACACAGATGAGACTTCTACGTGTATTAATGTTGCAGACAACAATTCAGATAGAGCTGAGCATGAGACTGACGAACTTTACAGTTATGATACGGTATTGTTTATTATTATTATTAATTATCTTGTTCTTTTCTTTTACCTTTATGTTTTGCCAGTATTATATAAGAAAGGAATTCATGTTCCCATAGCTTCTTATTATTCCACTGTGTGTAAATAATGATAGCGAAATCAACATTTGATCAGTTCAGCCTATCCCTCGTGATTTTGAACAAAACTTCATATTCCCCTCTGAACATCGGGACTACCCGCGTGCGTCGTTGTGCGTGGTTAATTTACATAATTTAATTTTAATCGACACTGTTTATGCCGTGTTTAGTTATAAAACTAAGTGGATATGAAAAATTATTATACAAATTATTATTTTATGTTAAGTAAGGTAAAACAAAAATAGGCAGTTGAATTCTACATTGATTTCCCTTGGCTTAGGGAGATATGAAGTTTGTACACCCTCGAAAAGTCATTGTACCCTCGAGTGATACCCTCGGGAAATATGAATTTTCTAAAGTTAAAAATCTTCATATCGTCCTCACACAAGGGATATACATGTATAATATTTCTCTTATGAAAAATTTAAGGTGGAAGTTATTCACAAAACAATATCGAAGTCCCTATAGTGTTTTTCCTTTTAAGGAATATGGTGTTGGTATCACGTATTTCATATAGTTTCTGTTTAATGTAAACACAAATTTTGGTGATCAATAGCTTGACAACTGTGTAGAAACTTAAACCTAGGGTTGTTAATGGAAATGTTTAAGTCATCGTGTTATAGAATTTCTGTTTCACAGTCGACCCTGATATGCTCTTTTTGTGATAGCCGCGTAGCTAAAGACAACTACCGAATGCAACTCATTATGGGATGCTTATGTGTAGTGGCATCAGTGTGATTACTACTTGTGTAGCAAACAATGTCTATCCTTACAGAGTAATACATTCATTTCCAGTTTTTCGTTGGCTTCGTGTTTTGTCTATTGTTTTGTGCACTGTTGTGTTACCATCTCTTTTCATTTAGCCAATCGTGTTTTTTTATTCGACATAGTGTTTTTAATAGCCCATTTGTTATAATATTCTTTTATAAAATTCCTCTAGTGCAAAATAAAAGTTGGATAATTGAGATTGTAAATAAACTTCAATATCAAATAAGTCCGACTACATGAGCTTATTATTTGGTTTGGACTTCCAGCTGTTTTGACTCGAGCACCAATGATACGTCTTATATAGTTTCGTGTTCAAATTAAAACGCCTAGTATCTTTGATGAGGTTTCTAATTTGTATTTATCTTTCGGGAATTCCATTCTTAAATAACAACGATATGCGGTTTAGGCTATATCTCTTGGTCCTTTGTGGATTTTCACTTACTTCGACCTCGAGCATCATTAGTTATATATTTATTGTCGAAATGTGCTTCTGGTGAGTTAAAATATTATAGCTAATATTATAACCTTTTAAATAAATAGAATAACTTGGCAGAGGTATGACAATGTTCAAGATTCCATCACTCAATCGACCCTGATAAATCATATCGGTTCGAGCAGTGTACAGTGGAGATCACTTCTAACCTCTCATTAAATCTGTCAGAATCTGTCAGGAGAACTGTTCCAGGACAACCTGACACCTTTTAGACAGTTCTAGCTAGAACAGTTCTAATCTAGAACTGATTTGGTCAGTTCTACCTAGAACTGATTTAGACAGTTCTACCTAGAACTGATCCTGACAGTTCTACTCTAGAACAGTTTTAGACAGTTCTACCTAGAACTGACCAAATCTTTGGTCAGTTCTACTTCTAGAACAGTTCTACGACTAGAACAGTTCTACGGTTAGAATTGATTTATAAATTCTACGGCTAGAATTGATTTATAAGTTTTAAGAACTCTTTGCCTTAAATATAAGGCTTCGGCAAAATAGCGATTTATAAAGAGTTTTGCTATTTTGCCGGTCTTATTTCAGATTTTTAATCAAGACAACATGTTTAACCCCGCCATATTCTGCATGAATGTGTCTGTTCCAGGTCAGGAGCCTGTAATTCAGTGATTTTCTTTTGTTGATGTGTTACATAAATTATTTGTTTTTCGTTCATTTTTTGTACATAAATTAGGCCGTTAGTTTTATCATTTGAATTGCTTTACATTTGTCATTCCGGGAGTCAGGATGACTCGTATAACAAAATAATTTGACCTCATTAACCAAATGTAAAAACTTGTTTCCCAATCCACTATTATGAATAAATATGTTTTTAAATTAAACTTAAACTGACCATATTTGCTCTTCGTCATGTAAATCTATATACATGTAGCCGCACACTGCAGAAATACCGTTATATTTTTAGGCAAGGATGGATTGTACAAATGACAGCAATTATATTGGAAAACAATTACTTCAAATTTTGTTTGCATCAATTTATAGTAACAGCATGTTCTCTTTTTATTCAAAATATTGAATCGTAAACAAATATGATCTATATATATCTGTTTACGAGTAGTTTTCATACCTTGGATGGACCCGTTTAACAAAAATCTTTTGACCGCATCAACCTAAACTGACCTTATTTGATCTTTTTTTCTGCAAATCTATATAGCTGCACAGTAATTCAGTTATAATTTTATGTCAAGAGGGACTGTAGTATACAAATAACAACAATATTGGAAATCAATGACCACAAATTTTTTTTCGCATCAATTGATAGTGCCAGCATTTCCTCTTTTTATTCAAAATATTGCATCAGAAACAAATATCAGTAGTTTTCATACCTCAGACTGACTCGTGTAACAAAATTATTTTTTCGCATCAACCAAAACTGACCATATTTGCTTTTTTTTATGTAAATCTATATAGCTGCACAGTAATTCAGTTATAATTTTAGGTCAAGAGGGACTGTAGTATACAAATAACCGCAATATTGGAAATCAATGACCACAAATTTTTTTTCGCATCAATTGAGAGTGCCAGCATTTCCTCTTTTTATTCAAAATATTGCATCAGAAACAAATATCAATAGTTTTCATACCTCAGACTGACTCGTGTAACAAAATTATTTGTCCGCATCAACCAAAACTGACCATATTTGCTTTTTTTTTTATGTAAATCTATATAGCTGCACAGTAATTTAGTTATAATTTTAGGTCAAGAGGGACTGTAGTATACAAATAACAACAATATTGAAAATCAATGACCACACATTTTTTTTTCGCATCAATTGAGAGTGCCAGCATTTCCTCTTTTTATTCAAAATATTGCATCGGAAACAAATACCAGTAGTTTTCATACCTCGGACTGACTCGTGTAACAAAATTATTTGTCGGCATCAACCAAAACTGACCATATTTGACAGTATCAACCAAAACTGACCATATTTGACCGCATCAACCAAAACTGACCATATTTGCTCTTTTTTATGTGATATTTTTATGTAAGGATGGATTGTATAATACAAATGATAGCAATATTGGAACACAATGACTACCAAATTTTGTTTGTATCAATTTAGAGTGCCAGCATGTCCTCTTTTTATTCAAAATATTGCATCATAAACAAATATCAGTAGTTTTCTTACCTTAGACAGACTGGTATAACAAAATTATTTGTCCGCATCAACCAAAACTGACCATATTTGCACTTTATTATGTAAATCCTAATAGCCGCAAAGTAAATCACCTATATTTTTATATCAGGATGGATTGTATAATACAAATGACAGCAATATTGGAAAACACTGACTACAAAATTATGCTCGCATCAGTTTATAGTGCCAGCATGTCCTCTTTTTATTCAAAATTTTGAATCGTAAACTAATTTCAGTAATTTTTATATCTCAGACCGACTCATATAACAAAATTATTTGTCCGCATCAACCAAAACTGACCATATTTGACAGCATCAACCAAACCGACCATATGTGACAGCATCAACCAAAACTGACCATATTTGCACTTTATTATGTAAATCCTAATATATATATATAGCCGCATAGTAAATCACTTATAGTTACAAATCACGATGGATTGTATAATTCAAATGACAGCAATATTGAAACACATTGACTACAAAAAAAATTCCACATCAATTTAGAGAACCAGCATGTCCTCTTTTTATTCAAAATATTGAATCGTAAACAAATTTCAGTACTTTCGATATATCAGACTGAGTCGTTTTAACAAAAGTATTTGACCGCAACTTTGGAACACAATGACTACCATGACTACAAAAGTTTGTCCACATCAATTTAGAGTGCCATTATTTCCTCTCTGTACATGCTGTATCCATAATAATGAACCGTCACTAAAGTCAATGGTTCGTGATGGTTTGTTGTTTTAAACAAAACTATTTAACGGCATCATCCAACACTCACATGACTCTGGGAACAGTATATATGTTCCTGCATGACTGATTCATATACTTTAAAATGAAAAGTACATGTACATGTTTTTTCTTGGAATAGTATACTGTTAATATATTTTGAAGAAGGCAAAGAAGAATGATTGATTTTGTGTGTAGCCTATTTTCGTCCAGGGGCAAATGTTTCATTCATGTTCATATCGAGTATATTTTTCTGACGTCCCAGACTCCCAGATATCATTTATAATCGTTATGGATAAGTCTGTCTAAATTGACGAGATGGTGCAAATGTACATACTTTAATATACAACACGTATTTCATTAATATCCCATAATTCATCCACTGTACAATTTTCGTTTGAACATTTGTCAAAAAAGAATCTGAAATCATGAATGTAAATCCAAGGCAAACAAGGTAAATTACGATTAAAACTCTATGAATTAAATGCAGAGTTATATTTAGGAAGAGACTGTAAAAAACGGGGAACGAAGTAAGGTAAACCATGATGTTTATATGCAATCATATAAAAATATTTCTCCGATGAGTTGGATAACCTTTCTATCCGCTTCGATATTTGTAACGTTACATGTAACGTTTGATCAGTAAAAATATAGAAAATCTGCTATTATACAGTAAAGTAATTGGAACTGATTCTTTTCTAAATTCTAAGATGCCCGTACTGCAGTGACGTCATTTAGAACTGTTCTACAGTCCTGACTGATTTAGTCAGTTCTGCTGACAGTTCTACGGTTATAACTGATTTGGACAGTTCTACCTAGAACAGTTTTAGACAGTTCTACCCTAGAACTGATCCTGACAGTTCTACCTAGAACTGGTTTAGTCAGTTCCACCTATAACTGATTCTGACAGTTCTACTTAGAACAGTTCTAGGGTAGAACTGTTCTAGGTAGAACTGTTCTAGGACAGTTTAGAACAGTTCTATGACAGATTATTCTGACAGTTCTAATGAGAGGTTAGAAGTGATCTCCACTGTAGTTCAGATGTTTTTATTTTCAGAATGGCAAAAGACATGAACAGACCTCTCTGTGATCCGGGATATTTGTACAGAAATGACCAATGTAGCAGACTATAATTGTGTTGATAAAATGGTTTTAGTCATCATTTTATAAAGCTGATAGTTTTAGAACATGTCATGGATTCGATCAAGGAGTTGACTATGTTTAAATGTAATGCAAACGTGCAACATATGTTGTAATATAGCTTTGTGCTTACAATTAATTCGTTACTTTTGAGCACACAGTTACAAAACAAGAATGTGAGGACATAAGCATGGTTGACAAAAGAAACGATGTGTAAATGCTGCAATGCAATGCTTGTGTGGATTGTTAAGGGTGAGCGCTTGAAGGCTTGCGTCCCGTCGAAAGTGGCTCAATTATAGTTTTTGTGATGCATATTTACATTGTTTTTATTCCTTTACATATCAAAGATCAAACTAACAAACGAAAGCTGAGTAATGTTATTGAAAGAGTACAGATAGTATAATTCATAGACATACATGTTTGTACAAGTCAACATAAAAAGATGAGACATATATACTATGGAGGTCATGGATTCGTCCCTGGTCTATTTCAAACAAAGACCATTAGTACTTAATGTTTGACCACTAAGCCTACAGCTTTAGCATATAGGAGTAAGATTAATGAATAAGAGGCTCGAATTATGTGTCTTGGAAGGAATGACATGTCTTCATTTGGTCTTTTTTTTAAATAGTATGTTAACATTTCGGCTCAGTTATCTGCCTAGTTCAAAACAAGGTTATTTTGATATTCTTATCACAACAGTATGTTCTTGTATTGGTATTCATCTAATATTTGCCACGTTTAACACTAATCAATCAATCTAACTTGTCTTTTTTGTTATAGGTTCAGCATTTTCGGGGATATATATTTTGCAAATCAGTGAATTAGCATCGATTATATTATATTTTTATGAGATTTGGAGCTTTTAGAAATACAGACACGCAGCCAATTTTTTTTTTATACACATTAATCAATTTTATTGCACCTTTACTGTTAAAAAGTTACTTAATCTACAGCTTCAACTAAATTTTCATATACGTAAGTTATTGAATATCCAATGAAAATATTCTCGCGAGCTAATTCTTATTATAAATATACTATGAAGTTTCTATAAGTTATAAAGATAACTGAAAATCCTAAAACTAAAAATGTTGTATGATGAATATTTTAGTTCTATTCGGAACAATGCAGAATTCGTTCTTTCTGTCCCAATGGTATCTTTCGCCTCTCTTTCATTGAACCAGCATCATTATGCATGAAGTACACTTGAATAGGGACATGCATGGCAAAGTTGAAATGATTTTACGAAGATGATATAAAAATTGCTGGACATTTTTAATCAACATATTTGTTGAGACAAATTTGTGTATTTACATTTCAAAAGGTTACTAGTTGTGCACCTCTACTTGTCGACTTGCTTTTGTACTCATATCAAGCAGAGCTCTTACAAAATCTTCTCAAAGGGAAAAAAAGAAAAAGCATCTTGATAAATTATTGGTGCTCGTTTTCAGAGACTTTTTTTGTATATTAATGATTTTTTTCTTTTTCTGAAACCTACTCAACTATTGAGTGTTTGGATCTCATATATACAAATAAACCGGAAATTAAGGATATACGACTGAAACTAGAATGTCTGCTTCGTATCTTCACCTTTTCAGTAATATTGACATAGAATACGACTTTAAACTAGAATTCATGACATACTGGTGACTTCATATTTTCAATTGCCAACTTACTATGTCGTTGTCGATTTTTCTTCAACTAATACATTTTGAATATGCTTTGGTATCGCTTTCTTCCTGTTTTTTTCCATTTCTTAGCTGTATCATGCGGCCTGCTTCATTGTATGGTGTTAACATATCTCAATTGATACGTTATACCGATTTTTTCATTTAAAAAAGTTGGATTTTCCAGTTTTCGGACAATAACTCAAAAATGCTTTCACCAATTTGCATGAAATTTTGGTGAATTGTTTATATTTATTGACATGAGCTCCCTTTCGTTTTTTGTAAATTTTAGATTTTACATTTCTGAGTTATGGGGTCTTATTCATTAAAAAAGGGGGGATTTTCCAGTTATCGGACAATAACTCAAAAATGCTTTCAGCAGTTCTCATGAAACTTTGGTGAATTGTTTATATTTATATGTATTGACGTAAGCTCCCTTTCGATTTTTACAAATTTCTGATATGACATTGAGAAGTTATTGAACTTTATTCTTTGGAAACGCGACGGGCGTTTCATGCGCTCATGGCGCAGCTGTTTATTTTTTAATAAATTCACGTTATTCAGTCTGATGTCAGAAAAGGTTTGTTGTGAATTCAAAGAAAATTACAGAATATATTATATGTCTATTTTGATATTGAATCCTTTGTTTTGTGTGAAGGGTTTGTGGAATATTGGCCATTGCGTTGTTTTATTTGACATTTCGTTTTTTATTTCCTCATATATGTTGGGTTTTTTTATCCGAACATGCATAAATATCTACCAAAGAATAATAAGTGTTCTTAACAAGTTTACAGCGCTTATAAGTATTGGAATCCTAATTAATATGCTATCACTTTCTTTGGCGAACGTAACCAAATATGTACAGCAGAGGTGGTCATTGCAAACTGTTCGAAGAAGTTTGACCTTGTATCACATTTATTAAATAATGTAGATCTAAACCCGTAATTGCCAAAAAACAAACAATGCCTTGTTAAGTAGATTGCCATTAAGTCCACTCATTTAGATTACAATGTCATAATATGAAACAGGAATAGAAAACTAAATAGTTTCAAGTACTTAGGATGTATAAATCATTATAGTGATAGACATATCCTGATACATTCGTTTGTGTTTACAGTATTTCCTTATGGAAATGCACTTCAGAAATATTTACCCATGGAATTATAATTTTAAAAAAATGTCATTAATTTAATCTAATCATATTCACACAGAACAGTACAGTATGTTTTGCACTTCTACGGGGCTTCGTCTCAATGCTCTGAACATGTACAAATATTATATAATATCGTCCTTGTTGCTTATTTTTTGGTTTTGTTGAAAGTTGTGTGTCTTTTCAATATTTGTTTGGACCAATTTAGCTTTTTGGCTTTAATTGATTGTGTGGTTTCATTTATAGCATTTATTTATCTTTCAATGAAATGTAATAAACAGTAAAAATCGGAAAGAAATGCATTATATAGTTTCAATGGTAAGTTTATAAGCAAATCAATGGATGCAAATAGTTGAGCGGGATTATTTTGTTTCTGCATGATAACCTGAGACCAGACCCAGTTTGAATTGAGCTTTGTTTAGCTCAGTCTTTTGTTTTCTATGTTCAAAAACTAATAGACAGTTATTTGTCTTTTCGTCGTTTTCCTTTTGGAAATTGTGTTATCTGTTCTTCGACTGATGATTTTGTTGTTGAACCCTTGAAATTGTCCTCTTCTTCTTTTAATTGATTCGCCTACATTGAAACTGTTCAAGAATGTGTTCTGCAAAAATCGAACAAAGGTTAAATTACATGAAAAGGGAGATAACTCTATTTATCCTAATGGTACATTTGACTTTAACATGTTTAATATTTATACTTAACTAATATATAATTATATGGATACGTGGTTTAATTGCCAATGAATGAGACAACGATCCACCAGAGCCAAACGGGCGTGTGAGACCGCCAGTTTTTATCACTGTAAGGCCTTCAACAATGCAATGGGGAAAGCACAAACTGTATACGAAGTAAGCGATAATATGTCAATACATTACAAAAGGGAAAGGATTCAACCGAGAATAAAATTACGGCATGTTCTCTACAGTAAACAGTAAAATATATATTATAAATTATTTATATATCTATGTATCTCCACAAAAAAAAATTAAAAAAAACCAAAGATGGCTAAAAGCAGCATACAACCATTGATTTATAGGCCCCTGACTTGAGACAGGTAATTACAGAATGAAGCAGGGCTAAACATTGATGCTCACACTCAAACCTCTCCGTACATTAAGACCGTGGTGTTACAGCACAACATTATGTTGATAAGTGTCATCAATTATCTATTTGTTTTGCTCACACATTGTTGTCAATTTAATGGAAATCTATGCGACTGTCATATAAGTGAGAGATTTAGTTAGCTATAAAACTAGGTTTAATCCACCAATTTCCACATGAGGAATAAATACCTGTACCAAGTCAGGAATAATCACAGTTGTTTTCCATTCAATGTGTTTGAGCTTTTGATTTTGCCATTTGCTAAATGACATTCCGTTTTGAATTTTCCTTGGATATTTTTGCCATTTTACCTTTTAAATAGTTCTATGACGTCATTTAAGGTTTACTTATCAAAAATAATTTATTCTGACGAAATGAAAAACATGTTTCAATTATCTGGTTGATATTTGTAGCAGTGTCATAAGATACTTTCTGAGATATTATGTACCGTTTGTTTCAGATACGTTAAGTCTTAATGCAATTTCTTTCGTTATGCATTTTAATTTCCTATTAGCGTTTTAAGCAACAATTAGAGATAGGAAAGGGAAGGAAAAAAACAGGCAAACACGGTTAGCCTACGAAATTATAACAATTGACTGCTCCTTTGTATGCCCCCGCCAAAGCGGAGGGGGCATTAAGTTTTACCCTTGTCCGTATGTAAGTACGTACGTCCCAAAATTGGTTTCCGTTCTCTAACTTTAGTTTGCTTCAACTAAATCACTGTATCTAAACTACTCCGGCAAAAAATGTTTGGACTCGATGGTATCTAATATCCGGCACGGTGACGGAACAACAATAGACAGAGAAAAGGTAGGTTTCTGTTTATTTATTTGTTATTTTTATGATATAGAAGAACAATTATACATATATAACTATTTTCTATTGTGAGATGTAATATTTTCTACAACCGTTCTAGATTAACGGAGAAATAAGTAAAAATGCACGTCAAAATCACGAATTGAGTGAACCTTGCCTCGAATTTGTTTAAAATCTTTAAATTGTTCACATTGTACGGAAAGAAAGGTACGGACAGAAAGATATTGACAGGGAGATTGCAAAACTAGTCACTTTGAGCACCTCAATAGTTGTATTTCTGTGTATGGAACGAAAGAAATGGGTCATGTCAAAATGGAAGGACCCGGTTTTGTCAATGTGTACAACCCGGTTTTGTCCTTGATTTCAAAAGGCAGAACCCGGTTTTGTCAAACAAAAGACAATGCATAATATCATAACATAATTGAACTTCAGCGTTTAAAAGGAATTTGGTGGCTAGTTGGAAAACGATTTCTTTCAGAGGACAACTTATTTTTTATTTGAATCTGTAAACACTTGAATTCCTACTTTATTGGAACAAAAATAATTATAGTTTTGCTTTGCATTTAAAAAAAATACTTTGACTGCGAAATAGATAGAAATGAAGGTTATAACGCAAATTGAGGTTTAAACTCTCTATAAGTTTTTTTATATGAATTATGTAAATTTAAGTGTTTAAACTTGAAATTAGAGTTTACGGTTTTAAAAATTGAAGCACGCACATTTGATATGTGATTTTCAAGCACAACAGGATGGTTATCTTTATAAGTAATCCAATCTACCTAGGGGTGTAATCTGTCCCTTTCCTATGATCGTTTAAAATAAATCTTCTAAGGCTAAATGTTCATTATAAGGCATGATAATAATTAAGACAAATGTATATGCTTGCAGAATCGCCATAGAAAATGAATGTTTATGGAGAGAAAAGGATTACAATAATCATACATTAAAAATCAAATCTATTTATCCCTAATTGTAACTATAATACTAAGTATAGATTCGTATAATAGTCTCAGGCCACCAAGAAAATGCAATAAGGATTATGTTATTAACAGTTCTATAAATAAACGGTTCTGTTATCTCTCCATTGTGTTATGATTATCGTACATTGACGTTGGTCATTATATTATTGACAATATATAGGGACGGAATCAGGTTTTTTTTTTAAAGTGGGCGTAATTCAAACAACTCACATACCACAATTTTTTGGACGATTTTATGCTAAAAAAAAATCGTAGAAAACATGATTTAATATTTTTGGGCCATCAAAGGTTGGGAGTGGGGGCGTGCGACCTATACGCCGCCTGGATTTGTCACTGATGATATAACTAAATCGTATACCAACTAAAAAATTTATAAGAAATAAGAAAACAGGGACACCCGCGAAATCGGATGTATGTGAGTAGGATTATCATGTTTATTCTAAAAATGCACATTGATGTTTTGGAATCGTCGGAATGCGATACCAATGGATGCAAATTCGTGGCGGCTTGAACTGTTTGTATGAAGCTTCATATGTCAGAAGTTAGAAGGTTTGACTGCAACATACCAAGCACACAGATCTTTTATGTTACGATGTTTCTATCTGTCATATGTCCATTGCCCTTGACCTCATTTTCATAGTTCAGCGATTTCCTAACAAAATGAATAGCTGGTTTTTTATCAAGTGAATTTCACACTGATAATGGTTGATATCTATGATCAAGGTTAACATTTCGTTTGCAAGTCCGTATCTCTAATATCATAAGTAATAGGTCAACTATATTTGCTCGTATGGCCACATGACTATTTATGTGACCTTGAACCTTTTTTCTTGATTAATTGGTAAATGTTAAGTTTTTTTTTTTGGTTTGGTTGGTTTTAATGATTGAAATGTGTTCAGTCGCGACATGTCAGTGCGTACACTCTTGTATTAATAATATGTAGTATTTATTTTTGTTGAAAAAACGCCAGTGAAGTTGTTTTGCCATGTCTGATTAGTTTATCTCGTTCGTGTAAGCCTTAATTATGAATTGTTAGACATTTTTGTAAATTCAAGAACGGTGCAATCTTGTTTTGAATTCTTGGTTTGATTTAGCTCACCTGACCCAACTGGAAAAGTGAGTCTTTTTCATCACTTGGCCATCGTCGTCAGTCGTTCGTCGTCTTCCGTTAATTTTTTACATAAATCTTCTCTGACATTACTGGGCTACATTTAACAAACCTTATCCACAATCTTATGTTGGTTTTAAAAGGTCTAACGAACTTATGTTTTACTGTTTTTTAATCATCATTGGGGTATCTAGTTTAAAAAAGTGTTCGATGACCCCGTTTGTCAACCAAGATGACCGACATGGCTAAAATAGAGCATAGGGAGGGAATGCAAATTTTGTCTATTATTTGAAAACAGCTATAGATAGAGAAAATTAAACAGGGGCAGATATGTTCAAAATGTTGAGCTCTACCTTTTGTCCATTGACATCAAAACTCTTACACGAATTCTTATAAGAGTTATTGCCCTTAAATGACAAATTTCTTCTTTTTTTCCATTTCTGTCTATTATCTTGAAATATATAAAAGATATATAGC